ATGGTTCGTCCGAAATGGCTCGGCACTTCTCAGAATTTTGAAAACTCGGTTCGACTAGCCTCATTCATCCTCGGAATAAACCTGAAAATATACCAAAAGCACGGAAAAGTATGCCAAAATATAAAATAAAATGAAAGACACAAAAACACACGAAAAAAGATAAAATGGACCGATCAACACTAAAACGGACCTAAAATCGACTCGAACACACACATAAACACATAAAAATAAACGCAAAAGCACAACAAACAGGGACATGGTTGTTCGGAACATTTGTATTTTTCTTAAGCTTGTCCTCTATAGTACACTCTCTTGGTAGGCAGACATTTAATGCTACTTTGAGTCTGAATTGGGAAGACTAGTCAAAACCCTAAAGTACAAATGCGTTGGGCCAAATAATTTAATGAGGGGCTTGGGCCTTGGAATAGAATTAAGATTGGGCTTCTTGCACTAAAAATTGGACTTGGAAATATGGCCTCGAAAAGGCTCAACCATTGGGCCTTCAAAGTATCCCACAACCTCCTGCACAATTACCCAAGTATTCCTGCACCTATTAACATTAGAAATCTCAAGGTTTTGTAACTTGTTCCTTGTCCTCCTCTGTATAATACTGGCTTGGAAAAACCTTGAGTTTTCCATCCTAATTTATGAGCAATAACACCTTAGTTTTTTGCTCCAGAACACCTCTTCATCTTTAAAAGCTTGGTTCTAGATATCCTTACACCTATTCCAAGCTTCCCAGTTCATATTTCCACCCTGCTGTCTAAGCACATCTAACTTAAATTGGCAATCCTCAAAAGTTTTAGCAGAGTTAGCAGAGAGAGAGGATTTCCATATAATCAAACCCAACCTAACATGTCGATAAGTTCATACAGGGTGCCATTATTTTTTCTCTCCACGTATTCTTTCAGCCAATTTCTCCAACTTAAGATAACAAATACATTTAGTTCTAACTATCAATTTGATATATATATATATATAATTAAATAAATATATTATAATATCAATATAAATATTAGAAAGATTAATAGTCACTAGCTTAAATATGCTATACAATTTTTTCAGTGCAATGAACTAAATAGTTATAATCATTCTTTAGAATTAACTAGTACTTGGCCAAGGTTTCCAACTAGGACTTTTCTCAAATTTCTTTATCTTTGCTTTATCTGATTTCTTTTAATGGACTAATCTCTAAGTTAAGAATATTACATGAATTTTATTTCAAGTGTCACTAACAATTGAGAGGTAAAGAGTACGGGTATTTCGTTATAAAATGTATACTATAAATCATCACACTAGGCAATATCGAAAATTTTGAAATGTAATTTTGAATAAAAATAAATTGCAAATATCGAGCATTTCATTTATAAAGAAAGATTGTGCTATTTTATTCTTGTATCTTTAGTAGAATATGGTTTTTTAAATTTAATGTGTTCAATTTGGAAAAACCCTACCTGAGAGTGGTTACTAATGATGTGAGGAGATGTTGGACCCAATGTTTTCTCGATATCACTTCATTAGTGAAATATGATAAGATTGTAGGCTTTTGTAAAAACTATCTTTATCTAGACACACTTGTTAGTTTGTTAAAATGTGGTGTTTGTTGAACAATCCGTGACTTGGTATTTTTATTCGTTTGTGAAGCTGAACTACATTGTCGAAATGGTTTTCATTGAAATGTTGGTAAATGTTTGGTCTGTTATTTTTTTGTTGGTATTGAACTAATTTTGGTAACTGCTTCGTATTGATGTTTGTGTTGGTTTTGATATATGTTTTAGTGATTCAAAAAGTGTTAGTTTTGTAGGTTCAAACATAAGATACATAAACCAAGAAGTTGATATAATTGATAGAGAATTTTACAACAGATCAGTGTTAACACCTTGCCAATATTGACTTTTTATAACGAGTCTTTGTTAACCCGTTATAAACGACTGTCTGTATATAATGGGTCTTTGCATTAACCCCATGTAAAAGGCAGTCTTTTTATAACGGGCCCAACTCGTTTTAAAAAGTGCATCCTTTTTTTACGGCATGAACTGTAACGTACGCAGAACTGCTATAAAAAGTCTTTTTTATTCGTTATAAAAAGTACTTTTCTCTATTAGTGGAGGATGAACTTACCATCCTTTTTCCAAAGTCAAATGAAAATAGATTATAATATATGGTCAAATTCAGCCTTATTGACATTGACATATATGACTAATAAGTTACTTTCCAATAAGGAAATTCTGAAAGAGTTTGAGTGCTCTAGCAGGTTGGTAACTCGGCACTTTATGCCCAGCTGCTCTAACTGTGTGAAACTTCTGTTGACAACCGATTCGGTCCGGGCCGGATCGGATACTCAGCCCCTCCGGATCGAGACAAGAACCCGGTCTGATGAGAAAATGCCGAGCTGGACCGCGAATTAGAGGGGCGGGAAACCGCCCAGGGAACAGATCCTCAGCCCGGCGCCCGACTTAGACCGAGGAAAAGCCGACCTGGATGGGTGCCGGACAGGAAGGAGACTATTCGTAGTCTGAAGAACATCTACGAACAAAGTGCCGACCTGAAAGTATGAGGGGCCCGACCAGGGACGACGCAGGAGCCTCAATGAACATTAAAATACTCCCACTTGGGAG